ACAGTCACCTGTAAAAGGTCGCAACGATTTAGCAACTGCATGCGATAAGATCGAGTAATGAAATTATTTTGTTTAAACTTTCAGTTCATCATAAACGCCAACGGGAATGTCAAAACACGCACCTGAAAGATTGTAAACAAAACAAACGCACCTAATATTTCGAGAATTGGACATGGATTAATGTCAATTACACATGCATAAATTATCAGTTAAATATACCTCCCAGAATTGTTAAAGCCATAGAATATTATTTAAACATTTTAGAATCATTCGCCGAAGGCGAAGTATTTAATAATATTGACAGAGTACGTAATCTACAGAGTACGTAATCGTATTCTGTAGAACTAACTTGACCAATAATCTACAACTAAGAGGAATTTGTTGGAAATTATCTGTCATACTTTCTGAACAGTTCTTGCCATCGTAGCCAGCCATACAGGTACAAGTATAGTCATTTACTCCGTCGACACAAATAGCACCGTTTTCGCAAGGATTTAGGTCACAGTCGTTTACTTCTGAAACTGGATGGAAGCAATACGTTCATGACTATTATTTCAAAACCGATATGACCAATAGATGGACGCACACGCCTGATCGAAGTTTTTAGGCTGCGCTGTGCCAAAAAACGTCGGTTTTACGGCTGTGCCAAAAAACGTCGGTTTTACGGTTTTGTTGCTCATTGCGTTTTGCGGACTTTCCGTTTTCAGCATTTGGTTTTCGGTTTTGTGCTTTTTCGGTTTTTCATATTGGGGTTCCAGTTTCTCTTCGATCTGAGCAGCAGTTATACGCCTCTGCTGATCTCGAATAGCTGCAAAACCAATATTGCTCCATTTACAACCACAGTCAGATCGAGTAGGATTTTGACAACTGAGATGTGCAAATTTATCGGTTTAGACGGTTTTGCATGCGGTTTTCGGTTTTAATCGAATTTTTTCGGTTTCTTATAGACAGCAATGCCCCCCTCATTATAGTGATTTACTGCATCAGTACATGTACAAGTTGCACCGTTTTCCCAAGGATTAGGATAACAATTAACAAATGGTAAACACCACAGCGTACACTATTGAGTTATGGATGCACGCGGGAGGTTGCTAAGCACGAAAGAAGCGTAAGAGTCGCTCGAGGCGATAGCCGAGAGCGACTCTAGCTTCTTGAGTGCTTAGCAAACCTCCCAAGTGCATCCATAACTCAATAGTGTACGCTGTGGTGTTTACCATTTGTTTTATAACATAACATTGATACATTGTAGCTAAAGAGTTCCCTTTTATTTAACAAATCTTACGCGACCACAAAAAACAAGCGCTCGCGCGGAAAAATAGTCTTTGCATTTGCTCACGTCAGCAGCGTACACCCATGGGCAAATGGGGGACGCTAAATTGACCAATCAGAGCGCGCGCTTTACTTTGGTTATGTTATAATCTTCGATATCTGAAAATTTCACAATTATTCGCCGAAGGCGAAGTGAATATTGTTGGATAATTCCCGAGACGAAGTCGAATGGACTATTCAACAATCTTCACTTAGCATTAGGGAATATTATTTTTTAGTAAAATTGCTAAGATTCTTTCGAATTCTGTTGTTAATTCGTTTTGTGAATTGACAATTGTAAACGCTGCCACAATTGTTTGGATTACTTGTATTGGAATATGCAGAAAGTTTCCATTAATAAAATTAGCCTAGCCTAAAAACTGAGCTCCACTGAGTTTATTTTTCAGCCCTTAACTTTATCAGAACTCTTTTTCGAGCTATAGTTTGTGAAATTATAAAGTGAGAACCTAAATTACAATGCTGTTAGTACGGATAGTCAGATCTTGTTCGCGCCAAGGAAATTTCCCCAAAAATCTAGTTACTTTGAAAGCTACAATAATCAGCATCGCACAGGGCCAGTCGTTTAAAACAGATTTCGAAGTGGAAAACGCACCATAACGCACGACTCACGACAAACTAAAATTACTGCGCGATACAATGTTAACACCACCATTCATGACAGCGCTCATTATTGTATGTGACAATGCTATCTTGTGATCATTTTGTTTCAACACCAATTTCTCTTAATCATTTATATTTCGCTATTGGCAAGGTTTAAAATGCTTTAATTGGATACTTATTCCTTTCTACCATTTTACAAGGAACTCATTCATATTCTTAATTAATGAAGCAAGTGATGAATGGCGTATTTTCAGATATAACAAAAGCAGTGGGAATACAAATTCATAACAATGCAGAAAATGCCAATAAATTTTCTAGAACTCTTTATCATACAATGAATTGAGTATTTGTTTATCTTCTTTTCTCGTTTCTATTCCGATAATGGCTTAATTGAGTCGCCAAAGTATTGCATAACCTTGGCTTTAATATTTTAAAATTATTTCTCTGTCTTTCTGGTTGCAATTGTTTTTATTCACCACTTTCATGAAGTTGCTATTATATTCCACTGTCTGCTGTGTTATACAGTTTTCCCTTCTGTTTTTGCAGAAATTGGACATCAATCAATGATTTTTCCATGTCGAAACGTACTTTCAAGCCGGCAGCTTAGGTCACTGATTGTTACCTGCTTCCCTAATAGGTCCTAAGCAGTTGTTTTGTGAAAATATGTTATGCAAACAAGCGGTAGTCGACGCCGACGGGAAGTTATTGGAATGACGGGAAGTTGAGATGAGAAACGAAATAATGAAATACGTCTTTATGTGGTTGAATAAGCTGCCTGGTTTCTGTACCTAAGTTTCAGTTATTCTCGCCTATGATGAATTATTAATCCTATTAGAGAAACCATCTGCTTCACCTCTTTGCTCATTGGTTTTTTTTTTTTGCAAAGAAAAATACTGAAAATTAATTTTGATCAGTTTTACTATCAAAA